AATTGTGTGAGTGGCGGGTGTTACTGGTAGAGTAGGCCATTCTTACCCCTTTCGCCAGATAATTGACACTGAATATTCCCTAACGTTGACGATTTATGTTTGGAAGATGTCTTTCTATCGGTCTTCTTTCTGAGACTACTTCAGCACGTGATTATCTCAGATAATAGCACTGCAAAACATACATTATATATGTGATATACTAACAGTGGCAACTTTCCTTTCGTTAATCCTCAATGCATTTCCACAATGCCGAATTCTAATTGCTGTTCCGACACGACATAACATTCCTCCCCAGCCCTAGACATTGTATTGTAGAGACATTGACCTATCACTCTATTTATCACCACTCTATAACATCCATTGATCGATTAGAACAAACTCTAAATGCACTTATACATAAATACACGAACTGCATTGCTGATCAAACACAATGTGTTATAGTTATTGAGTAAAAGGAGTCTTCATTTGGTCTCATTGGTTGGGTGTAGACCAACATTTAGCGTGAAAAAGGCGAGGAAAATATCATCCAAGAATGTCTCGCCAATCGGTGCACAAGTCGATGGCACCGTTCCCATTGCCATCATTGGAAGCGTGAACTTACTCAATAGTTTGAACAAGCAGAGTCGAATTCAGTTTCCATGCTGAAGGCTGGAGGGTATTTGTCTGCAAGCTCCTGACAGCAGGGCGCCTCAGTAATACATATTACAACAATTGCTACTAACCAAAATTGGTTCGCGTATCTACCATAGGCGAATAACGATTCCCCGACCTCGCCTGCTCTTTAATAGGGGATATTTGACGATAAGGCGTTATGGACATTGATTCGGAGCTAGAGTCAAGAAATGTTGTATGTATGGTCAAAACCTTATTTTCAGTGGCGCCTAGGACGATCATGAAGATTATTTCGCTTCATTTTATCTCCTTTCTCTGAACAACGAGAAACGTCCCGTTTTCACAAGAACTTTCGTCACTTTTAAAAAACGTTTCTATCTATTTAATTCTTTATAATTATCTGTTAAATTATATGTTCATCAAGGAATGAAAAAAAAAATACAATTTAAGAGCATATTGATCAGTATAAAGAACTATGGTTGTGCAACAAGTGCAATAGAGGCTCTGAGTAAACACCATGACCAAAGGCAAACTGACGACCAACAGAAATAATACACTTGAAAATTGGATGTGACAAAAAAATTACAGACTTTTTCAAAACGTCACTAGAATTAAAACAATAGTCTAAGCACTACAAACGTTAGGCTCAAAACGCAACTATGATAACTGCGTCAAGTATATCACCATCGAATAATCATTTCTTTTTGGTTTCATTTTTGGCCACCAACAAACATGATTGTATGCTTTCCCTTGCCCGGCATCTCAGCGTGCATATGTATGATTTTAGGTATCCAGAGTGCGTAAAGATCAAAGTATCGCTTCCTAATGAATGGTTCAAGTAACTAGCAAACTAGATTACTGGAGGAAGCTTGGCGGCCAGATGTCCTCGGGCTATGGGATATATTTAGGATTAAGAAGTCACTTCCGAAATTGAACTTCATGTAAACGCTTCGTGATTTTTACCACTCAGCATTACTCATCGATTACGGTTAATCTCTGGGCAATTACTTTGTAACCGGAAACCTTCCTGCCCGATTAATCTACATTGAAGAAGGACTCAGCAGTGATGGCGCGCTATAAAGGCTGTGACACACTGTGAGTTGGAAGCAACCACCCCTCAAAATGGACATGTACACAGTGATAACTTGAAATAAATCTGTGTTTATTGCATGTCTATTTTACTGTGCACGTTTCTGTGCACTGGGGGTCCCTTTGAATCATTACCGTGATTTCTGTTTGGTGAAAGGAAGATTGATTTCATACTGAGCAGGGCGATGTGTGTTGAACACAGTTGATTTGTCTTCGATCAATATGCCCCTGAACATAGAGAAGGACACTGTCATTATCATTATTCTGTGTCCGATTTTGTCCTGTCATACATCTATTAATTTTGTTAACCTCCTTTAGGTCTAAATGTAAATTGGAGGCCAGGATGGCTCAGATTCCTATGTGTCCAACTTAGATCATTAGGGTTCCTTCATCTTATTCGCACAAAGATTCAATGATCATGGTTTCGAATCCTAGATTCATCCAGATTCACCTTGTCAGATACATGCCTGTACTCTTCTGTTTTACTCGATACGAACACCACCTTGTCTCAGGTCTTTCCAATATTTCAAATACATACGCCATGATGTCACTGAAATACCAAAGGTTTTAAGCCACCTAGTGCACTTAAAAGTCATTGTTTAGCATACGATGGGTGTTGTAATGTATATATGTTTAATCAGGTTGTTGGTTTGTTTGTTGTTTAACGCCGCACTCAGCAATATTCAAGCTATATGACGGCGGTCTGTAAATAATCGAGTCTGGACCAGACAATCCAGTGGTTGACATCATGAACATCGATCCACGCAATTAGGATCGATGTCATGCATCAACCAAGTCAGCGAGCCTGACCACCCGATCCCGTTAGCCGCTTTAATATGTTTTAGTGTATTTGAGGATGAAGACATTCTGTATTCTCATTAAACTAAGTGGCTGTATACGTTTGTATTAGGTGATATTCAAGGAATAGTCTAACCTCAACCCTGTGGAATTGTCAGAATAACAAATAGTCCGGATGGGTTATACTATGTACACTGTAATTCCTCGTCTGGAGAAAAATGGAGGATAATTCTTCGTGGAATGTAAATAACAGTAACACAACTCCTTCCCAAATCATACGACATCCCTGATAAAGGCAGAGTTCATTGTATTTGTTTGTTTGTTTGTTGTTTAACGCCGCACTCAGCAATATTCTAGCTATCTAGAAATCTCTCCACGTCGTCAGACCTCACAAAATAAAAATGTTAATGTCTATGAAAATATTTCTTCTCACAAAGAAGTGGTTAGGTTACCAATATGTCACAACATCTGAATAAACTTACACATGTTATGGTACCAGTTCATAGTTTGTTTGTTTTGTTTGTTTGTTTGTTTGATTGTTGTTTAACGCAGCTATCAGCAATATTCCAGCTATATGACGGTGGTCTGTAACTAATCGAGTCTGGACCAGACAATCCAGTGATTGACATCATGAGCATCGATCCACGCAAGTGGGATCGATGACATGCATCAACAAGTCAACGAGCCTGACCACCCGATCCCGTTAGTCGCCTCTTACAGGCATAGTCGCCTGAGTTCATTGTACGAGTCGACTATACCATGAGCATGTGTATATGAACCACTATCAAATAGTGGTGATGCAAGATGTTCGCCAAAAGGTACCCTATCCCACCGGTGTTAAACCACACATTTCAACAAAATGCTGCCCAGGAAACCCTTCGCCGGTATAACACATTCAGCTGGCACGGCGGGTTAGTCGCATCACGGTAAAACATGGGTTGGTCTCCTGCAGGCTAAATCGCCGCGAAGAGCTGCAAGATTGCTGTTGCGGTGTTAAGCAATAATAACTCACTCGTTTTTAGATCGAAGTTGAGTCCAACATTATACCCGCCACAGACATTTCATATCTTCACATTAATATAAAGATCTACCGAAACGTCGCGTCAAAACAGAATAAAGAAGCTGTCATCCATACAATATCTTGTCTTTACTGTTAAATCAGTATGTTTATCGTAACATATTTGCTTTATTCATCTTACGAAAAGCTAACGACGGTGTTGGTAAAGGGCAATCTCTTCATCAGGAGAGATAAACTCGAACAGGTAAGGCCTGTACAACGTCTAACACCTATGATAAGTTCGCATTGCGCCACATTAGATAGTGTGTGTGGCATGTTATCATACAATCCTTGTTACAGACATTTCAAATCCGGGGCGGTCGGGTAGCCTAGTGGTTAAAGCGTTCGCTCGTCACGCCGAAGACCCGGGTTCGATTCCCGACATGGGTACAATGTGTGAAGCCCATTTCTGGTGTCCCCCGCCGTGATATTGCTGGAATATTGCTAAAAGCGGCGTAAAACCATACTCACTCACTCACTCACTCATTTGAAATCCACAACTCGGTATGATGATCCGTTGTTATTTGAAGCTTCTTAGTGATATGATATTGGATTGAAAAATATCAACTTTATCTAATGTGCCCCTAAAACGTCGCCACAAGTGGAACAAAACACATTACGAATTAGCCCCGTGAAGATTAGAATGAAAGTATTAGTCTTCAGCAATCCATACCAGACCAGAACACCAAAACATGAAGATTCCATACCAGAATTGATGTTTTTCTGTGTGCTGACCCCCTCAGCTAGCAGTTATTGTGAGACGTCCTACTAACCGACGAGGAGGATATTTTTCTCCGGTGACACCACGAAGAATAATTTCGTTTCCCGGTTACAAGTACCTGACATGTGACAGAAGAACATCTTTCCACATCGTCATTCGATCTCAGAATATGCATCATCTCGTGTACAAATGTACATGTATAAAGTAGGATGTATTGCAAGTCAAATAACAGCTGTCGATGACATCATCACCATTGATGTGAATGATGTCAGTTATCAGATATTACTGTTTCTAGTAAAACATAACGGAACGTTTGTTTATATGGAAAATTATAATTTCTTTGGAAAATCACGTCCAAATTACGTCACCAGATCATCAATCGATATTACAGTGTAACACTGAAATACAGCTGCACGACGGCATGTTCAATATGGTTTGGTTTTTTTACATGTTTTTTGGTTTGTTTCAGAACTTGGACAAATATTGGCAAATGACAAATTTGTTTTATGCGTTTCTTAGAACCAAAATAAATATTGGCAAACGACAAACATGCTTTTAGCCTCTGGGAGATAACACTTTCACCCATCTCAGCCCTTCTTTACTGTTCCAAGAGGCGTTAAACCCAACTCACCCAATCACTCACCTACTTTACTGAAGTAAATCAGAACAGAATCTCATTTTCAGCATTGATTCATAATATTTGAACAGAAAACAAAATAAAAGTTAGCTATGTTCATTTCTTTTATCTCTGATGTTATAAGAGCAGACAGACTACATATAATATATACTTCAGTGAGTTACAGTGCGTTTTCCACAGCCACTTAACTAACATATTCAATACTGCAAATATACACATAGTAACTGTAGTAAAACAATGTCATTTTGTGATGAACCATGTCTGTACATTCTGTGTTTTAGACTGGACTTAGGAGACTGGCTAACATTCACTATGGTTATATATCAATATGTATTTACACCAAGCAGACTGTGATCCCTTGTGAAAAACTAAGCACCGTAAATGGTTGAATCAACAATAAACATAGACATGTTAACACGACAGTATGTATACATGTTCAAATAACAATGTAGATATAGTGTAGTAACAGAGGGCATTGTACATATGCGTACAAACAAATTCACGTCACAAACGTAGACAAATAAACATATTTAACGAATGTAGAATACATACAATGAAATCATTAAATGCTTAGCATAGAGTCTACATAAATCGTAGTTACAAATGTATGGCCGTGTCGACAATACAAAGTGGGATGAGTGCAGACATGTATAAAGAGAGTTGGTTAGGAACTTAATTGATTCAGATAGTATTGATTTACTTATTTCCATATCCTAGATTTTTTTGTAAGACGTTAAACAGAGAATATCAGTCTCCATTATCTGCCGAAACAGATTCCATTCGGCGCAAAAGACTAAATACTGGTGACAGTTATATGAATGGGTCATTGAAAATCAGTGATGACACCAGGTGTTTGCAAAAAGGTTAGGCATGTCCTGCTCTACTGGTAGCACCTGCCACTTACACAATTTGCATAAGAAAATAAGTGATTGTGTGTTGCCGAACGCCCACAAAGTAGTTCTACCATACGACGGTGGTCATAACTGCGATGAGTCTTGACCAGACAATCCAGTGACACGTTAGGGAATTACTGATTTTGTTAAAACTGAAAACGAGTCTTGACCAGACTTCAAGTGAAAGTGATTAGACAATCCAGAAACAGATAGCGCGTTTACTGAATTTGTTAAAACTAAACACGATATGTTAACGTTGAAATGCGTCTGCTGTGTACATGTTCAAGTGCAGGAATCCTGTAAAAGAGAAACGTTTAAGCATTCCAACACGTCCGTTTCTGAAGGATCAAAAATTAACACAGGAAAATTTTCATCTATTGAGAAATCCCTAAGGTTATGTCCTTTCGGTGGAATTGTTGTCGAATATGAATACCATTTTGTGTTCATTTGCCCTATATACGAAAATCTAAGAAACCGCAATGGGCTTTATCTCACTTAATGCTATAAGATTGTCTTCATTAGAGCCCTGCAAGGATACTCTAATACAACATCAATTGGCTTTGTACATACATCATGCGTTATTGTCACGAAGTGAATTGTTACCTTGGCTTTGTATCTTATAAAATATGGTATGTAAGACCGTTGTACATGGGCCTGTGGCCTTTCATACAATAAAGAATTGAATTGACTTGAACGTAGTCATATTCTGAAAAGGCATGTTAGCATTATTTGTGCGTGTGCTAAGGAATGTGACGAATATTGATTATGACATGATTGATGACCATCAAGTAATAAGAATAACTTGAAAAGATACTATTTAGTAAATGTATTGCCAGGAATCAAAGAAGATTTTTTTCTTCTGTTTCGTATATATTACATTTCAAGACATCGGCGTGACACAAACGGAGAAAATGAAAGAAATATTTTCAAAAGTCTACAGCAGGACAAAAACATTGTCTGGGCTTAATACCACCGATCTATTAGGGCAAATATTTGGTATATGGAATGAAAAGCAAACAATTTATATTGTCAAATAAATAGGTAAAGGAACCCAAAACAGTATGAGATTATGCTGACATAAGATCATATGTTGTAAAAAGCACTCGTTCCTCTACAAATGTCACAAAAAGATACACACACATTGATTCATGAAATACCACCATGTGTATTTCATCCCCATTGTAAAATAAATAAGTTTAAAAAACGTATATGATGAAATATTTATTGTAATCACTTTTTGTCGATGCATTATCACCTGGATCTAATGGGACGGTGGGCATATCAATGATATTGGTATTCGTTCTGTTGGATTTAATTTCCAATCGTCACACCGAGTTGAGAAAGTGTCCGTGTGTGTGTGTGTGTGTGTGTGTGTGTGTGTGTGTGTGTGTGTGTGTGTGTGTGTGTATTTCGGGGATAGGTCGGATTACACAGATTACACGGATTAAACTAGGAAATGGACAGGTCGGAAATCGTGTGTCTTGTCCATGTGTCAGTACTCCATGGAATTTATGAAATTACATTATGCTTTCGACTTATTCGACTTATGCTCACAGAGATTAGGTAACTATCACCTTTGCTGTGTAAAATGAAACCATGTATCTATACTTACATATTCAAAGTTTTTGACATAATGTATAGTGTATAACATCTTTTATCCAGGGGGTGAATTGTCATACTACCCCCGCGTAAAACGCGACTAAAAATCATATATACAAAAAAGACATGCTTATATAGGCAACTTGACATGTGTGTACGTCGGTGAAAATTACAATTCTGTAAACAATGCCTTATCCACTTGTACACCATTTCTCTCGTTAAAAAACATTTAGACATCCGCACCTAGACATCCTCCCATAAGTGTGGGGTCCTTCTGTGCTAAAATTGGCAACATGCCTACTGTGTAGGTCCTTCTCTGTGAAATTTCAAGCTCATAAAAACCCATTCTCGCAACGCATTTTGTTTGAATCTTTACAATGTTCACAAATCAAAGCCACTCGACAAGCGTTTTTGTCAGGATTTTGGCAAAATGAAATCTTTAAACCATTCCTATTTAGGCAATCCAATCAATGTAGGGCAGGTTCTTTATTCTGTGCAATAATAAATAACATGAAACTAGGCAACTTGCCACGACAGTACATGCTCTGTGTAGTATACAGTGATTTATTACTAATACCTTGCCACACATGTACGTCATTTTCTGTGTACACTACTAAAACTTGTGTAAAATACCATACCTTGCCCCGAGTGTGGGGCAAACGTTATATTATATGCAGTCTTGTAAAACAGACATACCTGGACAACTTGCCACGAGTGAACGTCATGTATTTTGGCACAATGTGACATAGGAATTACATTATGGTTGTAATCCTTAAATGAAATGGACAACTGACAGGTGCAGTATGTGACAGTGTGTGCTTCGTGGTGGTCCCCACCAATCTTTGCTGTGAACACCAACATTGACAAGTCGTCATGACACCGACATGTCTTCATTGAAGTCCCTGTCAGGATTCTCCATGCCTCTCTTCATTTGGACACTGATGTAGATGTACACCTTCCTCCACGCTTCCGACACTTCCTTCGTGTATTTGTCAGCTAGCACCACCCCTAGACCATGGTTGAGGGAAGGCCACAGCCTCTGCAAAACAAATATTGATGTTAGATTAAGATCGAAGCATAACGATTCAGAGTTGACAAAAACTCTCCACATAAGTGTACGACGAGAGGGATAACTTCAACTTTCCAATAATCAACTTCTACTTTATGTCTAGCAATATTCCAGCAGCTCTTTGGTGTCTACATTTACTATCAAACACATAATAGTCATATTTTCAGAAACTCAATCTTAAACTTTCGTCCCTTCCTAAATCCTAAATTTACTTTAAAAATCAATTTCAAAATTCATTGTATCAGCAAAGCTTTCAAAAGATTGTACGGTAGACATGCTTCCAAATTTGAAGCATCAGTGACAAAAATGATGTTCGATGCAGTTTCATATTTTGACTAGTGCCATACGTTTCCTAGCATTTTAGGTGAACAATTGGCTTGACTTTGCATGTGTTTGTGACGGATGACGCCGATGGGGCAGGGAACGCTCACCTTTTCGCGTACACCTGGTATCATCACTATTTGAAAGTGATTCATAAACACATGCTCATCATATAGTAAGAATCGTACACTCGATATTTAACAGGATTTCTTTTGATTATCGAACAATTTTATCTCGCTTTTATCTATTATCTGTCGCGATTAAAAGAAGGATGTAAGCCACTGATCTTTGTCTCGAGTAGGTATTATGTATATAGCCCATGGTCACAATTTTTAAGAAAATGTGTTCCCCATTCTGTTAAATCAGTTAGTTAACTTATTACTCTTGAAGATCTTCCGGGAAAGGGTTGGCTGGTTTGTTGTTGTGGTTGGTTGGTTTGTTGTTAAACGCCGCACTCAGCAATATTCCAGCTATATGACGGCGGTCTGTAAATAATCGATCGAGTCTGGACCAGACAATCCAGTGATTGACACCATGAGGATCGATGACATGCATCAACCAAGTTAGCACCCGATCCCGTTTGTCGCCTCTTACGACAAGCATAGTCGCCTTTTACGACAGCATGGGTTGCTGAAGACCTATTCTACCCCGGATCTTCACGGGTCCCGGGTCAGGGATTCCGGGGTAGTAACCTGTACCGGTCGATGAGTGGTCAGTCGCGGTGATTTGGTTGATTTCATGTCATCGTACCCTGACGGCGTGGACCGTTGGTCATAATTTTAATCAGTGTATTGTCTTATCCAGACCCGAGTGTTACAGTCATCGTAACTATCCTATACCTGGAATATTGCTGAGTACAACAAATAAACAATGTCAGACATACAAATAGTAAAAGTGTTAGCTCTAGTTATGAGATCTACATGTATTTAAAAAATATTCAGTCAACGTTTCATTTACTGATGGCAAGGTAAAAATAACACGTTAATAGTTTATCAGATAAACTTGATACGATCGTATACCACAAGCATATTATCAATTTAACCATGCTAGACCTTTGAAAAACGTGCATGCACGGTTTTGAGCACAAATATCACTGTATCTTTGGAACAATCCATAAACTGACATACTAACATACCACATACATGAAACGTTTAATTAGTAAGAACTTCTTTATTGTTTGTAACGACGTTTGAGGACTACTTCTTGCCCCTTCGTCACCCACACGAAGCTTATTTATGTAGCTACATAGAAAGAAATATTATTCTTGAAATGCAGTCTATTTTCTATCGCATAGCTCACGGTTAACAGATATTGTGTTTCAGGATGGGGCAGCCACGAAACTGCCTGTATCAACGTTAGAAAGCCCAATAACAGAATGATATTAGTTCTCAAACACGATCTTTATCATTGAGACTCATATAGAAGGCAAGAAGACAAACACCGAAAAATACAAGAAAACAGTTTTAGGCTACAAGATTGCTTTAGTCTTGCGCAAAGCAAACCCTGTCTGATAAATATTATTGTTCAATCTTTAATATCATCAGCGTCATACTATCATCCATTCTAATACAAACGCCCCCTAGCTGCAGCGCTGTGACTGAGGGGGTAATTTCGACACTACGAAGGTTATTTACACCTTGGAAGAAAAGGAGGTACTTTTATTTCCAACGTCATGCCCTATTCGTCCTTTGGTGTTTCAACACCAACTCCCTCAGAAACAGCCGCCAGAGACACTTACGAAAACTCGGAAGAGAGATAATATTATCCTCAAGACTGACTAGAATGGATATAAATACCCTTGTTAGACTGTGCTTGTGGCAGAGGGAAGGTTGGAAAATAAGCTGAAGACTTTAGATCAATGCGAGACTTTTTCTGGGAGGATCTTGTTTGTCTCCACCGAAAATATTTGCACTGAAGTTAACACATTTAGATTTAAACGTATTTGGATAAAAAGGCGTCTGTTCTAATACTGGGAGTAGCACCGTGGGGGAACGCATTAAGACGTGAGACAGTGTATGGTATTAAGTTCTAAGACAGGTGATTTAATTGTGCAAGTACATTTGGCACATACGTTTCTTCCGACAAGAAACTTCCATAACTGTTCTATAGTTTAGTCTATCTGTATAAGTGTAAAAGTTAGTTCTCATTCGTAGTCGTATCCTGCATTAACCATAACTAACCATTGTCTATCAGAATAATACTACACCTGGTGCCATTACTTATTTTCAGTGATCCATTCATGCGTTTTTCACCTCTGGTTTCTTTTCCCTTTTACGCCCAAAGGATTATGTTTCGGCAGATAATCGAGATTGGTTGTTGTATGTATTCTATCTCCGACTGAGACCGTATGATACAGTAGTGCATCTGGGTCACTGGCATGAAAGTGGTAGTTGTAAAGTGTATTCGGTTTCTTTTCTATTGAAATATGTATTGGATCCCAGCATGCAGTAGCGGATCATGATGCCTTTAACAGCATTTCCCTAACGTTCATCAGACGCCATTCTTGCTGCTGTAAAGCATAATCACAAATTTCTTTTTAAACCGAAATCAATAACAGCAATTTAAACTAACGCGCTCACTTATTACAACTATCCACACCTTTTAACAAAACCAATTGAATGCAATACAAAGTATACACAAACTGACACAACTACCATTTTTCATACACATTACACATACACATTATCTTAATGTACTATATGTTCCACATCGTTTGTCAGTGTGCCCGGTAAATGCATCAACCAAGTCAGCGAACCTGACCACCTGATCCTGTTAGTCGCATCTTACGACAAGCATTGGTTGCTGAAGACCAATTCTAACCAGGGTAATCTTCACGGGTAAGTAATAAAACGATTCAAAGATAAACTCGAACATGACATTGAGTGCACACCTCCCAGAAACAAAAGGTCACGAACATAGGTGGTCAAAAGTGATGACTCCATATTATTGATTTTACAGAAGACTAAGCAAAGAGCAAATTGATAGCAATCTAATATATCTCCCAATGACCCGAGCTGACCACAGTCTCTGTCGGTCTTGTTATTACTGCATAATTTTGCCGCAATCTGACCGTCTCCTCGAAGCGTGGATGACGGCTAATTTAGAATGAGATGAAGTTAGAGGAACAACTAATTTTCCTCGGAGGGCATTTCTATCGTTGATTAGTTTCAGCATAAACGCTCGGCTTCCCCTCATGGTGAAGTGCTGTATTACAGGGCTTCTAGAGTGAACGTCCTTGGCGAATCTGTTGGTGCTTCAGATAGAGAAGGCTCATTTTGTGAGATATCTCATGTCGACACATCTTCAAACATAATGCAGGCGATTACATTAAAAGGAATATCCGTGTATTGTACATGGGAGACTTGAGGATATGCCGATTTGTGAGGACGCTGTTGAATATTGCACTTATTATGACATACACGCCAATTTGAAATTGATTTTCTTTCGTTAGACCACTCATGAAATATCAAATGATTTAAGACGAGTGACGACCACAGCAGTTTTCCTCTGCGCTAGAGTGGAGGAACAACCTATGCCCGAGGCAATGGTATGCAAAGCACGGGGCATTAATGATGTCAAGAGCGTTCTAGAACTCTCGTGAAGAAAACAGATCTCTCTCTCTCTCTCTCTCTCTCTCTCTCTCTCTCTCTCTCTCTCTCTCTCTCTCTCTCGATCGACACACATGGGACACTAGGGTCCATTCTACCAGGTATCCCCACGGGGAATAATGTAATAAATATGTAAGCGAAGGTAAATTAGAGCAACCAAATTCGTTTGTTTTTCATAATACAGTTAGCGCATAGAAATTTCATTCCGGAAATCTCATAAAAAATGTAAATCCATCAACGCCTAGTTTATATTCTAATTGGAATGATTCGAGAACGTACACAAAAGTAAATTAGAGCAACCTTATCATTTCTTCTGATAAAACAATTTGGAAGAAAACTCTTCAGGCATGACTGATAATGATGTCATTTTTACGGGCTTTGGACATAGCGTCATTAATCAGTCGCCGAAGTATAGTTATTATCGGATATGACCGGCAGAAGATCGATCACTAGCTATTATTATTCTGCGGAAAACTGCCAACTTGATAAATCACAGTGTTATTTTGGTGAAAAAGGGACATGGCAATTGGTGTCATTTGTTTTCTTTGCACATAAACAGAATAAAAAAGATCAAGACGCGAAAATGATTTTTAAAAATTACGTTTCCTTATAAATCATACTTCGTTGACTTGACAAATGACCATTGCATACGTAAGGATAACGTTTAATAATTGCTTTCCAAGAATCACGTTCGTCTAAGTGTCAAAACATGGCTGTACTTAATTTCAAAAGCTGTATATAAAATAGACTATTCAAACAACTTGATGTGATTAATAATTATATTACTGAGAATGGAATATAGTTATTCTACAACAATAATTCATTATTTCACCTAATGTAATGTCAATAGAAACTTGTTTTTACGGTACGCAAGGACTCGCTAATTCTTTGTTTTGAAGAAAGGTTCTTGATGGCAATAATCACGATAACTTAGATGAAATGGAGAAGTATTATCTGTTGTCGTTAAGATTAAAGATCCAGAGATCAATGTTTATTGCAAAGTCAACGAGCAGAGATGATTATAAATGCTGATATTAACAT